TCTAGTTCTTCTGGCTCCCGAGATAACGATTTTTCCCGTCAAAACTTCCACGGGGTGTTGAAAATTTGCGGAGTCTTACGTGGGTAGGGATTTGCCATGTTGAAATTTCAGCTTTTTCAGTTCACGAGATAATAATTTTCCTACCATAACTTTTACGGGGTCGTACGCGGTACCCAGGAGTAGTGAAGGCTGGATGCGATTTTGCGGAGTCGTACGTTAGTAGCGGACATCACTCCAAAATTTCTGATTCCTAACTTCCGCGGTTCCCGAGAAAACAATTTTCTCCGACAAAAGTTTTACACGTGATACCCGCAGGAACGGGAAGGCTGAGTTTGAACTTGAGGAGTCGTACGTGGGCTTAGAGCAAGCTGAGTTTAGTATCACTTAGAGCATTACTTTTGGCGGGTAAATTATTATGCGTTTTGTGCTGTCCGTTCCTGCGAGTATCACAGCGTTACAAAACGCATTTTGTTACGGGGTTGTCTGTGTGTGTCCCACACTTTGTCCCGCACTTTCAACTCGGGAACCACAAAAGCTGGGCGGCTGAAATTTTGGTATAGTGTTCCCGCCAACGGGTGACACGGCAGATTTAAATTCAGCCTTCCCGTACCCGCGGGTAACTCGTACGGCCCCGTGAAAATTTTTTTCAGGTAAATTACTATCTCAGGAACCATGAAGTGTAGGAGACTGAAATTTTAGAGTAATGCCCCCTGCCCACGCTCAACCTTGCCCATTCAAATTCAGCCTTCCCTTACCCGCGGGTAACCTGTACGGCTCCGTGAAAATTTTTTACGGGTAAATTACTATCTCAGGAACCACGAAGTCTAGGAGGCTGAAATTTTAAGGTAATGACCCCCCGCGCACACTCAACCATGCCCATTCAAATTCAGCGTTCCCTCGCTGCTGATTGTCACTTACGGCCTCGTGAGAATTTTGGCGGCTAAATTATTAACTAGGGAATCACGGAAAGATATTCACCCTTCAAAGTTTCGAATTCAGCTTTCATGCGCTGGTGCGTGAAATTTTTAACTATTTTCCAGTTGTTGAACTACTTTTGCATAGACAAAAGTACAAACCAGTGAAAATCATTAACAGGCAATCGTTCGATGGGCTGAATTGCACAAAATGCATGATCGCACTGGCTAGTCTGGTGCGCGTTGCTGTTTATTATCTTGGAAGCCAGAAAGCTGAAATTTTAGCCAGGAAGTTATTATCTCGGAAACCACAGAAGTGAGAAGGGGTTAAAATTTTATCGGTATGTCCGCTACCCACGTGCGACTTAGAAAATTTAAATTCAGCCGTCCCGTTCGCGCAAGTAACATATACGGCCCCGCAAAACTTTTGGCAGGTAAATTATTATCTCGGGGACCATAAGCGAACATCACCCCAAAAATTTAAGATTCCCAACTTCCGCGGTTTCCGAGACAGCAGTTTGCCCACCAAGAGTTTCACGGGCCGCGCGTGATACTCGGATCAGCGGGAAGGCTGAGTTTAAATTTGAGAGGTCATAGATGGGCATGGAAAAGTCCCCTAAAATTTCAACTTCCTGGGTTTTATGGCTCCCGAGATAAGAATTTACCTGCCAAAAGTTTCAGGGGACCGTATATGTTACCCGCAGGCAAATGAAGGCTGAATTTGAATTTTCTAGATCGCACGCAGGCAGCGAACATACCGATTAAATTTTAGCTTCCCAACTTCCGTGGTTCCCGAGAAAATAATTTTCCCCGCCAAAACTTTTATGGGTCTGTACGTTCTACCTACGAGTAATTTGCGGGCCACACGTGAAGGGAGAACATTTCCAGCTCCCCAGCTTTTGTGATTGAAAGTTGCGGACAAGATTCATCGGACACACACACACACACACACACACACACACACAC